CCGTGTTCATGCGGAAAGGTCTACATCGGAACTACCAAGAGATCAGTGGGAACGAGACTTAAGGAGCATAAAGCAAGCTGCAGGCTAGGACATACAGAGAAGTCTGCAGTAGCTGAACACGCACTGGGCAGCGGGGAACACAGGATGCACTTTGAGAGTTGTAAGTTACTAGCATCGGTCAACGGCTATCACAACAGACTAGTCAGGGAAGCCATTGAGATACAAAAACACCCACACAATTTCAACAGAAAGGAGGAGACCCTTAGACTCAACCAAATCTGGAACCCGATCCTTAGGAACGCCCGAGCAGTACCCATCGATATCCGGAGACCAACCGAAGCGGAACAGGCCCCGCCCACCACTAATCGGCATAAATACAACCTGCGCAGGAGAAATCGTCAGTCTACGTCCAACATCGGAGATGGAAGGACCTCTGAAGAAGCTCGCCACTCGTGCTATCGAAACGTTAGGAAGTAATTCCAATCGACGACGGCCTTTAAACCCGAATCAAGACAATAGCTAATTTAATTACTATTTCGCAATCTCGAAAAGTTGTCCCAGAGATTCAATTAGACCATTAAAGAACCACTTAGGAGAGCTTCAACCACTTTGAAACTGTCGGGAAGATATAAAACTACCACCAATAATGAGATACCGTAAAATTCGTTATATTTATTTCGGAATCTTTAACAAATCAGACGTTGTCCCAGATATTCAATTAGTCTATTGAAGAGCCACTAAGGAGACCTCCAAATGATGTATTGCTCACCCACCTTGAAACTGTCGGGAAGACATAAAGCTACCCCTAATAATGAAACATCCAAAAAGCGTTATATTTATTTCGCAATCCCAAAAAATCTGATGTCCCAGATATTGAATTAGACCATTGAAGAACCACTTTGGAGAGGTTCAAAATGATGTATTGATCAACCACCTTGAAACCGTCGGGAAAACATAAAACTACCCCCAATAATGAAACATCCAAAAATTCGTTATATTTATTTCGCAATCTCCAAAAAATCTGATGTCCCAGATATTATAAAACTCGTTATATTTATTTCTGAATCTTAAAAAAGTTTGACGTTTTCCCAGATATTCAATTAGACCATTGAAGAGCCACTTAGGAGAGCTTCAAAATTATGGAAGATATAAAACTACCCCCAATCATGAAATGCTGAATGTTCTTACGCACCCAACATATTCACAGAAGTATATTTTTTTTAAATTAAGAATAAGTAACGAACTGGTCCCCTGTAATATTTGCAAATCCGAATCGAAATCCAAATCTAACCCCATAATACCGCATCCGAACCTTCGTTGTCTACGCTACTCGACAAAGCTCGGACCTGTTGCAAATCTGTAGTATGGGGCGGCTGGAGGAGGATCTACAATTAGGCAGCACTCCTCTACTTCCAATCGGCGCGTGCGGCGCCATCTTCTCGCGAGGAACGTCAATCTTTCGGGGGTGAGATCGACGATCGTCGGAGTCGCGTCCTTTCGCCGAGTTAGTTGCCACTCGCTCCGTTAGGTGGCGCCCGACGTGGCGCATAGGTGCCGATCAATTCCCGAATGCAGCTGATGAGGATTCGGTCGAATAGGGTAGCAGAAGAAATCGCTCAGCTGCGATCCCTTTGGAAAATGGGTAGGGTTTGGCTTCGTCAGTACTCCCTATCAGTAGATGTTTTTGTGAAGAGCGCGGATTATTCACAGGAGCGAGGCAAGGAAGAAGCGAAATTTTTTCGTGCCTTCGCCGCCTCCATCTCGATTTCACGGAGGCGGCGGCGGCGGCGGAATTGGCGCGTGTAGCATTATAATTGCGGCAAGCGGGCATGAATGGAACAAACGGCTGTCACCCGAGCGGAATGCCCCGAGTTTCCGATCCGGGCGGGGGCGGTGGGGGAGCGAGCGCGCGTGCGCCCCGTCCGCGAAGATGTCATCCTCGTGGCCAGGGCCGTACGCGTCCGCCCGGCGTTGCGGCATAGTTGTTTATTTATGTGGATTTTTATTCCGGAAATAAATACACGGAATTTTGATTACATCTTCCGAGTCTATCTTTTATTTTGTATGAGAATTTCCCCCCGCCCCCTTTTCTCTCTCATTTTCTCTCCCTCACTCATCTTTCCCCCCTCATCTCCCCAACCACATTCTCTCCCTCTCCCCCCTCACCACCTTTCCTCCCCACCCCTTCCTCTCTCTCTCACCCCTCTTCCTCCCCCCCTGTCTTTCTCTCATTCTCTCTCCCTCATCTCTCTCTCCCGCATTTCTCCCTCCCTCATCTCACCCTCCCCAAAATTTTTAAACAGTGAACTTATAGGTTTTAAAAAAATAAAATATCAAAAAATAATACAATTTATCGCAAATATGTTACAATACCATATATAAATAATTTATATTTAAACTTTTGTTGTTGCTGTTTAAATTGCCAATGAATGACAAGCCAACGTTTCTAAAATCGTATAAATGGTCATAAATATACTAAAAACGCATCAATTGCTTCACATAAACATGAAAATTTAACGAACAACTTAATTTTTTATTTTGAAGAAACAAAAATTTTTGCACACGATAATAATTATAAAAAAATAGCAATTAAAGAAATAGACTATATTAAAAAAGATATACATGCTGCAGATGATCTTGAAGATATTAGTAATTTAAGTAAGTTATGCCACAATTTAAATTAAATCTACTTTCTCATAATAAAATAAATAAACCAACAATCAAATTTTAGCAACTAATACTAAACGCAAACTTGTGTTTACAGAAAACCTACGCGCACAGACGGATACCTTAATGCATAATCACATCACCATCCGGCTCAAAAATCATCGGTTATCAACTCTCTTGTTTACAGGGCCGTAAAACTATCTCAGCCCGAGTCATTAAACCCTGAATTAAAACACCTTACCTCTGCTCTTCTCTCTAATAATTTTCACATAAAAGTATTAAGTGTTACATCTCCAGATACAATTCGCCACAACAATCCAATAGCAATGAGGCAGAAAGCAATCCCACACTTGCCACCGTTATCCTTCCTTACATCCAAAACATCATTGACCACATATGAAAAGTTCTAAAGAAATATAACGTCAAAAGCAGATTTGTCAGTTGTCCAAAAATCTCTCTTCGATCAGTCAAAGACAAAATTCCATTTGAGATGCCAGGAGTTTACAACATTCCATGCACATGCGGCAAAGAAAGGACGAAAAATATTAACTGGGCTCAAAGAACTTGAAAGAGCCTTAAGACTAAGACATGACATGAAATCAGACATAAAATTTTATTCGATAATACTCAAACTCTTCCATGTAATGAATTCTTCTACCAAGGAAAAATTCGAGAGTTTATAGAAGCAAGCAATGTAGGTAATAACCGCGACCAGGTCTTTATTTGTCACCAATATGGGAATCAGTCATCCGAGACGGTTTTATGTCCCTCGTTTAGCTACGCCCTCCTCAAACGATATAAAAGCTGGTACAGAGTAAAATGCGAGCCAGTTTCAGTCAAGCTCTGAGGAAGCCAACAAAAACCGACGCAAGAGGAATTCCAGAAATTTCATAAAAACTAAAAATAACTTCGATTTCAAAACGTAACTTTATCGAACTGAGTGATGCGCTACTTTGTCTTATTGGTGAGAGTCGAATTTGAAACACAAGGTATAGGCGGTTTATGGCTGTTAGCCCCGATTTTGCCTTGCGGAATACGGTTCATTCGAATGGAAGATTTCTATTAATGACAGACAGACCACGGAAAAGGAATGTTAGTACTCTTACAATTATTTTATGGTATTGAGTTGCGACATCGATGGGAAGATTTGCTTATGTGTTAAATTGAATATTGAATGAAGCATCTATTTCCACGCAAGTATTTAAAATTAAACAAATTAACTTAAATTAAATTAATTACTCGTTCAATTTTGATAATATCGTGATGCGATAAAGAGCAGAACAAAGCTAAATATTATTCTAACTAGAACAGAAAACATAACGTGTAGACACAACAATAATTGAAATTCAAATGAATCTGACTATTGCCGTCCTTTTTTAAAATCGGTCACTGATTCATTCGGTTTCCGTGAAATGAACGATTGACCCAACGCTAAACCAACGGGAAGTTGGAAATTTTTTTATGGAAAAAAATACTAAAAGTTCAGATTTTCAGGAAATAATATATTTTCACATGACAATGGTTTCGACAGCATGTCTTTATCAAATGTTATATTTACAAACTACCTGCTACTATATATACCGAACACTGACCATAAAACCTTAATTAATGTTGTGAGAATTTAAGTTCAATAAAGGAGAGGTATTTAAATCTAACTGATCGTTAAGCAATACATTTGAATGTCTCATTTTGTTAACCTCCATGACTTCCAATAAATTTAATACTCTACCCTTTGTGGCTGTATGTAAAATATCAAAATCCTCGTCAAAAATGTGTTTTTCTGTGTTTAAGTGTGTAGCATAATTAGAATCTGGACTATTGTTTTTAAACGCTCTTTTATGTTCGTCAATGCGTTTCTTGAAGGATGTACCTGTTTCTCCAATATAAATTTTAGGACAAGATCCGCATTTCAACCTGAAGACACCTGATTTTTGAGATTTTGGACATTTCGTTTTACTGTTTTTTAAAAATTAAGATTAACAAAATGAGACATTCAAATGTATTGCTTAACGATCAATTATTGTTATTTTTCGGTATATATAGTAGCAGGAGGTTTGTAAAAATTACATTTGATAAAGACACGGTGTTGTCGAAACAATTGTCACGTGAATATATATAATTTCGTGAAAATCTGAACTTTTAGTTCTTATTTATGCTGTTAAATGAATTTTCATCAAGTAAAAGCCACCTCGGTACAATTTTTTTATGGGTTCAAGAAAAAAAACCCCGGTGTGAAGGGTCCGTCGTCGTCGAGCCGGCCCTGCGGCGATGCCCGTTCCTGCGACGTTCTGCGACGCAGTCTCGTGGCCGACGAACGTTCGCCGAGGCGGGCCGAGCGTCGATCCCGAACGTTCCTTTTTAGCGAAAGAAGAACCCGCGGGCGCGCCGGACCGACACAGTGCAGTGTGCATTTTTTTCTGCCGGGCGAGAGAAAAAAAAACGCCGCAGATACGACCACGACGAGAACGGGGGTTCGTGTGCGAAAATGTACGACCTTAGCGCTTCGGTTCCACCGCAGCGGTCTTAGGTGGTGAAGTCCCGCGCGGGGAGAGGGTGCGTGCGTGCGGTAATCGCCGTCGCTCCGGGGTAGACAAGAGATAATGTCGTCGGTCGTCGTCGACGGAGTGCCCTACGACGACGGGTTTACACATTGACAACATGGAGTCATGCCTCGTTGACATACCAATACTAAAGGTCAGTTTGTGCGCGACCGTCCACCATTATTTCCTCTCTTTCGCGTCGCGGTAATCGCTAGGGGTGTCGTCCTCCTCGGGGATGATCTTCTGGTATTCTAGCGGCGAAGGAAACGGTCCTCCGCATTTTCGCGTACTCCGCGAGGGCGCGAGCGCCGTTGCCACGTTGTGGATGACGAGATTTTCGGGTGCCGACTGTGAACATTTTCCCATTAAACGCCATAACACATTCGGAATGTTTCCGTTCCCGTTTAAATGGGAAACATTAAAGACTGTTCATTCCATTAATTAAAAAATTAACAATATACATAGAAAGCGTCATTTTCACTATTATCGCATTTTTATCTAATTGGATAAAATGAGAACGTTTTACTGATACCGTTGCGAAATCTTTGCTTTATATTTGTTATTGAATAATCCGTTGAAACTAACAATATTGTTTTCTTTAACTTGAATTCTTACTACTCCGCTGCGCAAAGAACGGACTATATGTTTTAAGGCCTGTTTATTTGTTATATATTTTCGTGTGAACAATTTAACAATACGGATGAACCGAAACTTATCTCCCCCCCCCCCACTCCCAATTATTCGGCTACCAAGTCCGAAAGTTGAACTTATCCAAATATAGGTCATCCCGACGACGAAAATCAATGGGCACGATGTCGGGTTCCTATGCAGGTGGAAATTTAATTTGCAGATATTCCGTACACATATGCGATATTTAATTAACGTAATTAATGTATAACTTTCATGCGCATAAACGTCGTTATAAAGCGCGTTCGGTAGTTTCAAGGTTTGCAAGCAGAAGCCTTCGAATACGCTTTTTTTTTGTTAACTTTTGAAATTTGAGGATGGCATTCTAGGCGGACGAGGAGCCAAGAAAGTCGTTTATTCGTTTTTTTTTGAGCGGGATTTAGTGAAACTAAAGAAACAAAAGAAAACATCAAGTTTGGCAGATCCACCGTTCATAGGAGCCTAAGAAGGTTAATTGTACTACTTAAAACTCATTTGTCCCGGAGAAAGTAGTCAGTAGTAATAATATGAAAAACTATTTACAAATCTTCTGGATTCATATTGCATCGGTTGTGGATAAATGTAAATCTATGAATTCACAAGATTTGTAGATAGCATTACGATGGTCTGCGGAAGATATTCATTTAATCTATTGGATGCTTTTAATCTATATTCATTTATTAACCTAATTGTATTCCAGTGTTTTTTACAAAACTTCTGGATTCCTGCTGCGTCGGTTTTTGCTTAGTCGAACTTGCTGACGTTTCGCCAATCATCCTGTTGGCTTCTTCAGAGCTTGACTGAAACTGCCTTCCATTTTACTGTGCAAAGTCTGTTCATAGATATAAGAAAGTGACTAACTGATACGAATTAAAGAAAGACCCGGGCAAGCTGTCAGAATGAAATATGTCCGAACAGGTCCGTACTTTGCTTAGAGTTTAATTATTTGGGGTTTTGTTAGAAAATATCCTAAACAATATTTATTTATTTATGTATGTATATTACCTACATAAATTACGTAAAATTATTCACATAATAGATCAGTATCACTATCGCTATCATCGCCTTTTCTTATTATTATTTATTGTATATTATTTGCAATATGGATATACGATTGTTCTGCTTTTTCTATATGTTTAACAGAATTTGCCCAACTTTGTGGAGGGATGTTAAAAACTTCGTTTTCTATACGTTTGAGGACATTGGAGTTAACACAGGGAAAAACATTGTTACGACGAATGGCGGATTTCAATTGGCTTGCTGGCACCACGTTCAATGATAGTCAAATAAACATTGTTTATAATTTCCTTAGTCTCAATAGAATAGTGTTTTCTACATTTGGGCGGGAGCATCTCCTGAGATACACTATTTTGCATAATTCGCACACGACTCAACACACGCTGCATTACACACGAAATAAGAATGATTACTAATAAACCTAAACGAAGTAGTATACCAAACCAAAGAATATTAAACATAGGAAGGTATAAAATTATTTTCTATTACGGACCACAATTATACCTGAATTTAAATTCCTAAACTTTATGTAATAATCTTGTTGCATTGTATGTTAATGACCACCCTTGAATAATCCTATTCAAAAGAAATTGGTCACTTTCTTATATCTATGAACAGACCATACCTAAATGAGGGATATAAACACCGTCTACGCCCCTGGACGCAGACAAAAAACAATGGGATTCCTCGGTGCCCAGCTCCGTTTAGTAGCATGATGGTGCCGGTTCTAAGACACTTTGAGCCGGAAACTTTCTATTTTAATAATAAATAAAATATATTTTATAATAAATAATAAAATAAAACTAAAACATCAAATTCAAAAACTCCGAATCGAATGTCAAACACTCGGTATAACTTTTTCAAAGAAACTTCCACAAGCTACTAGAGTTACAATCTTTACGACAGAATAAACTAAAATTTCTTGTGAAAGAAGAAAATTGCGAAGAATAAACCAATTTTGTTTAAGACCACCATCATATCGCAATGCAATTAAATAGACATTAATCCAAACACCTGGATCTCTTCTTAGAAATGCTACAACAGATACTTTAATAAGAAACTGAGCATCGTAACTCACAAAGTTGTGTTGGTTAAGTTTTGACTGTTGTAATTACTGTGAACGAAATAAATACTTTTTACCAAACTTCTGGCGTCGGTTTTTGTTTCGCCAATCATCTTCTTGGCTTCAGAGCTTGACTGAAACTGGCTGTACCTGCTTTTATATTGTTTGAGGGGAGCGGAGCTAAATACATAAACACCGTCGCGGTTAAGATTGTTAGGATGTTTATAGAGTATCGGATTTTTCGTTGGTAGAAGAATTGATGATATGCAAGAATTTTAGTTTTATCGAATAATTCATTCCATTCCAGTGTTTAGAAAAATCGATTTAAAAGTGAAAGGAAAGTCAAAATTGTTATAAAAATTGCTATCAATGTAGGCTATTGAGACACAGCTCTCCAAAATTGTCATTTGGATATGGATAAATTAAACTTAATTGGTTACGATGACACACGCGTATTTTCTAGGGTAAATAATTTCTAAGGCAAATCGAATATTAATAAATAACGTTAACAAGACTACCTTTTTCGATGACAAAAATTAAGTCCCCCAAAGATATTTTTATATTATTTTATTTATTTTTAATTTTTTATATATTTTATTTATTTATTTTTATTTATATATTATTATATATTATATTTCTCGTCACACGTCCATCATAATTTATTCTTGCATATTTTTTGCAGTAAACAGAAAATATGCAGAGTGTGTCTAAAAAGTATATGGCGATACTAAGTTACTTTTTTGTAATTTAACACCATTTTTTCAAATCTATTATACCTTTCTTACTTTTTCTGAGCAAAAGAATAAAATAGAGACAAAACCAGAGCTCAAGGACTTTGTTTAACGCTTAATATTCAGAAAGACCCATTACCAGATTCACGGTGAGTAAAACTGGGACAAAATTTGTAGAAACAGTGCATGTCAAAGAAATTATTTTGTTAGCTGTTGAAGGTGCATACCATTAACTTCTTGACAATATGCTAATCGGTTTAAAAACAATTGCGGAATGTTGCTCAGGATATTTTCATTAAATTGTGATTTTAAATATCCCCAGACGAAAAAAATCCAGTGGAGTAATGTCTATCTTTCAGACCATTTCTACCATATTTAAATATTCTCGCACTTGAGCAAAATGGGGCGGAGCGTTATCCTTTTAAAATCAAATCTGTCTATCTGGCGTATCAGGTTAATTTGCATTTGAGAAAGAAATTGGGAAGAAATAAGGGACCATAGTTCTGTTATTCAAGCATTTATTTTATTTGGATGTTGTGTATGATTATTTGTACTCCAATGCTTACAGTTTTGTCCATTTACCTTTCAATTTAGACAGCTTCTGTAGTAATGTAATCTTGAACGACAACATTATTTATAGGATTATTCTCAACTTCTAATAAAGTATTTAATCGTATCGGTCTTTCTCGATATTTTGCACAAAACAAATTTGGGTTTATGTAATACTTGATTTTTAAATGGATTTGTTCCATATTTTAGCCGTTCACTGAGCACGAAAAATCATCTTTATTAGTTCTGAAAAAGGCAATGAAATTTCCGAAACGTCGACCACGTAGGTTTTACATTTTTATATAAATAAACGTTTCAACTGAGAGTTGACAAGACTTAACTTACATTACGTTTTTTATTTGAAAAAAATTCTATGATTGTCGGTTAATATCTTTCAATACTTAATTGTTTCTCATTTTTCCCCTTGCGCTGTTATCTTATCCTTTACTTTGCAAAGTGCCACCACGCAAGTCAGCAATACCTAGACAAACTCTTTCAGTTTCAACGTGCGCGATAATTTTTTTTTCGTCCGGCAGAAAAAAAACTCCGGTATCGATTAAAGAATGTCGGTAGCGACAGTATTTATGGTGAATTTCTACGAGCGAAACCCTTTGTGTCGTATAATCTATCATCCAATTTATCCCCGAGGCTGTTCCGTTTTTAATGTGGCATGTAAGTATGTTTTTCTATATATATAAATTTAAGTTGTATTTAAAATTTTCAGTCACCAACAGCGTGTTCAAAGAAATGCCAGTTTTATACTCAGTGTTATCAAATGTCTATCAGTCAAACTTTTCTCAGCATCGTGTTTTTTATTCACTTTTTTTTCTCTGTTATTAAATTAAATACGGAACTTAGCGTCAACCGTATAAGTTTTCCAGATTACAAAATAAGTTTTACCAGACCACTTTAATGCAAGAATAGTACCAAATTGTTTAAATGGAACCTTGGACTGACCTGCACGCAGTCCAGATTTTAACCGCATAGAACATTTAATAACATCTGAGGGGTGGGCCAGTGAGAGATCATCAGCCCCACCTGCGTCCTTGTATGATTTAGAAAATATCAGATAAATATAATATATATAAATATCCATCAAATAAGAATTAAAAATTTGGTTCATAGTAT